CGGTTTTTAATGCGTTAAAGGAGTCTTTTCCAGCAGATTTGCCCAATGCATTAAGGTTGACTCTACTTTGAGGCGGCAACTCTTCCCTAGTCATATTTTGAGTGCTTTCTAACATGAGAGGCTTATTTTCCGGCACTATATCAGACAATGTTCCACTGCTATTCATAAGGTTTTCACTGGCCAGTTCTTTCAGAAGTAGACCACCAGGTGTTTCTTCCTAGTCTGTCTTAGTCTGGAAGCTCTGCTGAAATCTATTCACTATGAATGACCCTGCTGGTAGTTGAAATCAGTGGCGTAGTTTGTCATACTGTGGTGGCTTGTGTGTTGCTGTGATGCTAGAAGCTATGCTACAGGAATAAAAATGACCAAATATATCAATTATAACAATAAATGTAAGTGGGCTATTTAAAAAATCTTCAAAACAGATTGAAAAATACAACCAAATGTTGAATACAAGAGATACAGTCAAAAGAAAGTCATAGGTTAAAAGAAAAAGCATAGACAACAACAAAATATAACTAGTAACAAAGTGAACTAAAAGCAAACAAAATAAAACAAAGAACAAAGTATAAAAACATGAAACGGAATCCAAAAAAAGTTCATTTTATGTTGATAACTTTTCAAAATTCATAAAAAATAAAATAAAATAACTATCATAACTCATGAGCTGCATAACGCGGAACAAAATGTATAAATTAAAAATGCTTAGATATACAAGAGAAAAATATAATGATGAAAGACTAACATTCTACTCGTGATCTAAACAAATTAACAAACAAAAATATAGGCAAAAATACAGAAGTTATGAAAATCAGAATTTATACTTTATTCTCTGTAATTCCAAAAAAGATTTACAAATTTTATGGAGAATATTAAGTCACAGACCACCACGTGTCTGTTAGTTCGTCATACTGTGGTGGCTTGAGTGCTGCTGTGATACTGGAAGCTCTGCTACCAGTATTTCAAATACCAGCAGGGTCACCCTTGGTGGACAGGTTTCAACAGAGCTTCCAGATTAAGACAGACTAGGAAGAAGGACCTGAATCTACTTCTGAAAAAATTGGCCAGTGAAAACCTTATGAATAACAGGGGAACAGTGCCTAATATAGTGCCAGAAGATGAGCCCCTCAGGTTGGAAGGCACTCAAAATACAACTGGGGAAGAGCTGCCACCTCAAAGTAGAGTCAACTTTAATGCACTGGGCAAATCTGCTGGAAAAGACCTCTTTAAAGTGTTAAAAAGCAAAGATGTCACTTTGAGGACTTAGGTGCACCTGACCCAAATGGTATTTTAAATTGCCTCATATGCATGCAAAAGCTAGACAATGAATGGAAGACTGAAGGATTGATGCCTTTGAATTATGGTGTTAGCAAACAATACTGAATATACCATGGACTGCTAGAAGAACAAACAAAATCTGTCTTGGTAGAAGTACAGCCAGAATGCTCCTTAGAAGCGAGAACGGCAAGACTTTGTCTCACGTACTTTGCCCATTTATCAGGAGGGACCAGTCCCTGGAGAAAGACATCATGCTTGGTAAAGTAGAGGGTCATCAAAAAAGAGGAAGACCCTCAACGAGATGGATTGACATGGTGGCTGCAGCAATGGGCTCAAGCACAGCAATGATTGTGAGGATGGCGCAGGACCGGGCAGTGTTTCATTCTGTTGTACACAGTGTCACCGTGAGTCAGAACTGACTCGACGGCACCTAACAAGAACAAGTCACAGAGGAAATTCTCTAAAATAAAACACAGCAAAAAAGTGTAGGCCACATTCTCTTTCTACAATGCAAAAAAAGAGACAAATTAACACCAAAGTTAAAAAAAAGAAGAAAAAGTCACTTTGAAATTAATAATACTCTCTTAATCACTTTGATTTCAAAGAAGAAATATCCTTCCTTGTATGCGTCTCAATTTTCTCATATTTAAAAAAAGGTTTTTCAACTAAAATGTCTTTTAAGGTCTTTCTAGTCACTCCTCCCTGTAACATACACACACAAACCACAAATTACTTTTAAGTATTTACGAAGCATATACCATATGTTCAGCTTTCTGAGTGATTATTCCATGATGGATGCAAAAGTAGAAAAGGTCCCTACATTAAAGGAGTGTATGATATAGTTGGGGAGTTAAGAAAATTTAAACAGCAGTCACCAACATAATTATAAATGTTATATAAAGTCAGAAGAGAAAGAGATCAGGATAGCGAGGCAAGGCTTATTTACCGACTTGAGTTAGGCCTTAAAGATAGAAGAGTTTTGAGAAGGCAGAGGAAAAATAGGGAAACATTCTGGTCAAGGACACTATAACAATGAAAGCTAAAGAATAAAATGTAATACTGAAGTTACAATAAGTGATTATTGTAGACATAGCTTAGGAAGAAAAGCATTAAAGCATTAGTCCAAATTGTTTATACTAAAAAATGAGCTGCAACAAGATTTTCAAGCACTAATGGTTGTGGGCTGCCAGCTAAAGCTTGGAAAGATTCTCATCATTTTGAACTTTCATCCAATAGACTACCACATTATCTCTAGAGAGAATTACGTTTCCGATATATGATCATCTTTATTGGCCATTTGGGAAACTGACCACAGCAGAGGCAAGATACTCGGCCAGGCTCCAGAGCTACTTCATGCAATGAGAGGAAAACAGTAATAGCTAAGAAATTTAAAGACCATTATCACATTCAGGCTCTACTGATTCTGTAACCTCTAAGACTATTTCACATTCCCGTAGTCTAACCCATAAAAATTAAAATAATTAAACTAAAACAATATTATCTAACCAAGAATGATATTTACCCTGAAAAGAAAGAAGGAAACACAGAAAGATTTAGAACTGGTTTATAATAAACAAGGTAGAGATGACTATGACTGCCAAATAGGCGGGAGTGGAAGGAAATAAAGCATCTCAGTTTCTGAGCAAAATGCTGTTATTAAGTATAACTATATCAACTTGGTCCAAATCCAGTATTTCTTATTCATTGAAAAGAAACATATTAAAATAACACCAATTTCCTTTACAAATAAACACTTTCAGTCAAGGAAGCATCTACCAAAAAGGTTTAATCCTAAAGATAATAAGAAGCAGGAGGAAAATTATTTCAGTGTTTCTAATTTCAAATAACTTCTAAATATAAATATGTTATAGCTAAATTAGTAATAATCACTTTTATAATTCTAATGAAATTATTTCAAATACAGTTTATTCCTATATTTTTATTTAAAGTACATAAAAATAAGAAAAATCATAAATCAAATAATTAGAATTTATTGCTGTATATTAATTAACTGTGGAAAACACTAATGGCAATATTTGTACTTAATTGTTTATAATCATGATCTTCAAAAAGCTATGACAAATAGGAAACTTCATTCACAAGTACCTAAGATGCCATGGGCTACTTTTGAAGATAAACATTATAATGCACACTATATGAAAACTTGGGTTTTTGTTCATAATGATTGGTAAACTGCATCTGGACAAGAAACAATAAATATCTGCTGAGAGGCCATATTTTAATCTTCTCTGAGTGTGGTGACTCTTGAAACTGGGCATATCCCTGATAAATAATATACGGGTAATACAAATATTTCAACTAATTGTTCTCAATAAGGTCTTTCTACCCATCACTCTCGCACACCCCACATACACACAAGAATCACAACAACTTTTAAGTATTTAAAGATGCTGGCTCCTGAGGAATCTGCAAATTACAAGCCAAGATGGACTGCATACCCACCAGCGTGGATTTGCCTTCTTGCATCTGAGCTATCAGTTGGGGGAGCCAAAGAGAACAGCTTTTGCATGGATACATGGGAAGTTACAAGAATTACTCCCTAAGAAGAGAAATATTTAACATTGCCCTGATGGCAAGCTGTTCTGCCTACTCTAAATCCTTCAAAATAAATATGATGCAGTCTGATGATTCTGAATGTTTGGTTGGCATTGCAAAAACCAATCTCAAAATTTTAAATTATTCTTCAGATACAAAATAGCTATAATTTATATTAAATGCATAGCAATTTTAGTTATATGATGATCCTTTTTCAAAAAATAAAAGGACTCAACTTCTTTTAAAAATAGTCAATGTTTTCAAAACACTGTTTCCATTTCCTCAACATTCAGGCTTTATAGTAACCATTAACGCAAATGTGGATGCCCTTCATTGAGCTTCAACAATAATGTTACGCACATGCCCTTCATTTAGGGGTAAAACTCATTCTGATCAGATATTCTAGGTGTCATTAAAGAGCTCTACATCTGATGTTTAAATATGCAATAAAATGACCTAAATAAGCAGGACTGAATAGCTCTGGAAACATATGAGGCTTTATACAAAGTTATAGTTTCATATATTTGCTGAGATTTTCAATTCCTAAACATAACCTGAGATGCTAAAGAGTTTGTCAGGATCTTGCCTTTTATACCAATGACCTAGAAATAGTATACACTTAGAAGTCTCATTTTTATCTCATTTCATTTCTTTGTAAATGTAATGTTAGGATATGGATTTTGTCTTTTATTTTAAATGCAAGGGGGCCATACTTAAAATTGAAACTGTCTTAAACACATAATCATTAGCAATTCTGCACCACTTGACACAATAAGGTATAAAATAAGTTCTGAAGTGTAATATTCTCACAGTCCATCAATAAATCATCTTTAAATGGGACCCATCAAATGTTGAAGAAATTCATTTTTTTAAGAAAATAATCTATCAGGAAAACCATTGTCTTGAAATCTCAAAAGCTTTCATTTTTAATTCACAAGAGATATCTTGTTAGAAAGACTAAATGAAAATGATTAATGGCACTAATTAAGTTTTCCTATATGCTTCATTTCCAATAAAATTTTTTAATTATTTCTATTATTGACATTCTGAGTACAGTATCACTTGCCATTTTTTAAAAAAATCACTTGCCATTGTCTCATAAAACTTCTAGAAAATTCCTTGACTAACATCCTCTTTTTAAAAATGTGTTAAATTAAATCACTTACTGCAAACAGCCCACTTTTACTGCTACAGGAATGTGGGGAAGCTGAGTGGCCCACTTCAGTGTCACATCCTGATAAATATGCAACATGTTATTATGGTTTCCAATCAAAGTATTTATTGTTCCTTCAGAAACTGTAGGTTAAAGACAGAGAATAGTGAGAAAACAGTCATTTGCAACAATATGTTACATTTCTTTCAGGGGATTTATGACACAAAATGATTCTAATATCTTGATTTTAATGCATAAAGATTTTTAAGTAACAAAATATTCTTTTTCAACATCAAGCTACCAGGATCACAAAGGGAAAATCATTTTACAGACTTGGAAACTATAACTAGACAGTGGCCAACATTTTTGCATTTCATCTAGAAAGCATGAATTTCATTAATATTTAACACATGTAAGCTAATGATTTACTGGGCATTCACTACAGATAAGTCACTCTATTAGACATTACCATGCCCTGTTCTGCTTATAAAAGAGCCTGATGTTCTCTTGGAAGCATTCTGAAAGGCTACATTATAGAAAGCATTAATGTATGCTGGAGGCCAATTGTACAAGTCATTTTGTACAAAGTGACTGACAAAATCAAATGTGTGCTTTTTATCAAAACTCTGTTCAAATTTCAAAAGTTAAAATTTCCATTACATGTTAAGTATTAAACTATTTTCCTAGATGTTTAGAAAATATGTGTACGAGTATGGTTTTTTTCTGATGCACATAACATAGCCTTCAGATATTGAAAAGAAAAAAGAGCTTCTTTATACACACCTGAGCAGTAGGGGAGAAAACAACTTGGGCTACAATCAAGTTTCTTCATGAACCGAATTTGTCCATTATCCTTAAGGCAATAAAAGTTTCTCTCACCAAGAACAAAAACAGAAGATGCTGACTGATTGAAAGAGACAATACGTATGTCAAGGGCTTGTTCTCCAATATTTAGAGTCCAGTCCACCTGAAAAGCAAAATCCAAGATCAATTTAACTGTTAAGAACAGAAAATTTCAGCAACTTTCATATAAATCCAGTTAAGAAATGGCTTTACCACAGAGCAGAGACATAAAGAGTGGTACTCTCCTCCTTCAACTACTTTTCTTTTTTTTTTTGGTATGACTGTATTTCTAATACTTTATAGATTCTAGCATGTTTTGCTCCATCTTTTTCCAAATGGTACTAGCTATTCAGTGGTTCAAAAATACTCATAAAAAGTTATTAACTTCACTGAAAATTTCCACAGAAAACCTATTGGGTTTACTTTGAAAACATAATTTAATTTAACAATTGTAAAACCTATAGTCAATACTGTTGGAACTATAATGTTTTAATATAAAATGGTGAAAAAGTATATCAATATGCATATACAGAGCAGTCACCACGCTGATGTAGTCACATACTTGGGATCCTCTATACACAGAGCTCCTCCAGGGTATCTTCATGTCTCTGTAACATGGTCAATGATCAATAAATGTTTCTTAAAATAATGAAGGAATTAATTTAAAAGGGACATGTAAAATAATAGTTTTTCATAATTCAACTTCCAAGCTATTAATATTTCTAAATCAAGATTTCTGGCCATCAAGACAGGCCATTAGATATTAATCCATCTATTTAAGACATTAACATTTCTGAAGGAAGTATGAAATCCAACTAGGGGTGGTCAGAAAGGCAAATGACATCAGTGTATCTGTGAGTGTGTGTCTGTGTATAAATCATCTGGAGGAGGGGGACAGCATAGTGAATATAGGTAGATGCATCCAGCTATGTTAATCTAAATTAGGAGTCAACACCAAGAAATTATTCAATTGCCATTTGGTTCAAGGGTATCTTACCTATGTGAAAAGACTGCACAGGACAATGTTGACGTTCTAGCATTATATGCCACTGTCTATAACTTTGACTGATGTATGTCTGACTCTAAGAGATGATGATCCATTCAGAGCAGACAGACAAATCAAGTTTCTGAAGCTGCAGGCTAATATCCAGCCACTAAATACTTTCAGTTCACTAGCTACTGAGTGCCACTCTCTCTGGCCTCCCCTTCGAGAAATACACCACATTCTGAATTAATGAACTACACAAAGTAAAGAAGAACCCTGGAAATGTTAACTACACAGGGAAATATATGATTGTTTTCTTCTAATTTAAATCTCATTGAAAGATAATTGACTACTTAAATAAAAATAATAACAATGTAATATGTAGTTTACAGTACATTAAAATTAAAATGTATGACCACAATAGCACAAAGGCTGGAGGGAGAAAATGGAAGTATGGTTCTTAATACTATATGTGAAGTAGTATAATATCACCTGAAGGAAGACTGTCATAAATAAAAGATACAAAATGTGCAAAACCTAAAGCAATCACTAAAGTAACAAAACCAAAAGTTAAAGCTAATAAGCAAACAAAGAGATAAAATGAATGTATAACAAATACTGACTTAATCCGCAAAAAAAGCAGGAAAGTGGAAAAAGGAAACAGAACAGATCGGAAAATAGAAAACAAATGTTCAGATGATAGACTTAAACTTAACCACATCAATAGTCACATGAAATGTAAATGGTCTAAAAATCTCAATTAAAAGGCAAAGAATGTCATATTGTATCAAAAAAACAAGACCCAACTATATGCTGCTTACAAGTGATGCACTTTAAGTATAAAGACACAAACTCATTAAAAGTAAGTACATGGAAAAAGATATATCAGGATAACACTAATCAACAGAGGCTATATTAATAGATTACTTTTCAGATCAAAGGGAAAAAGAAGGTCATTTCATAATGAAAAAGAGGTCAGTTCCTCATGAGACATAATGATTCAAAATATATGAAGCAAAAAACTAATAAAATGGCAATGAAGAATAGATAAATTCACAGTTACAGTCATGACTTCAATACTCCTCTCTCAAAATTGGTAGAACAAGCAGTGAGAAAATTAATAAAGATATAGAAGATTTATATAACACTATCACATGACTTAACCTGTAGACATGTGTAGAATACTCCAAACAACAATAGCAAAAAATACACATTCTTTTCAAGTGCACACTGAACATTTAGCAAGATAGATCATTTTCTAGGCCATAAAATATACCTCAGTAAATGTAAAAGAATTCAAGTCATACAGAGTATGCTCTCTGACCAGAATGGAATCAAATTAGAAATCAACAAATAGTAAAAGGCAGCTACAAGTAACATAGGCAGCTATTAACTGCCTTCCCACACAACCTTATTAAAAGCATTCCACCGGATAATTTCTGACTCCTGTGCAATAGATTTAATGATGTTCTATGGCATCATAGTCTTACAAAGTGACTGTGGTGTAATAAAGGGAAGTTTTACTGCTATTTCTTACTTTATTCATTAATATGGATAGCACAGGGAAGAGGTGAAGGAAGAATAGTTTCCCTGTAGGATCAATTATACTCAATCTTTTACTCAACCGTAATTGCCTACAGAATATACCCCCAGTGTGAAACAAAGTGAAACCCTGGCGGCATACTGGTTAAGAGCTACGGCTGCTAATCAAAAGGTCGGTAGTTTGAATCCACCAGGCGCTCCTTGGAAACACTATGGGGCAGTTCTACTCTGTACTATAGGGTTGCTATGAGTCGGAATTGACTCAACGGCAATGGGTTTTTTTTTGGTTTGGTGAGGCACTGAGTAGTATCAATAAATACCTGCAAATGAATGAGTGAAGGATATTTGAAATAGAAGGAAAATCATACGCAGAAACCTAGAATCAAGAAAAGCCATGGAATATTCAGAACAGTAAGAAACCCCATGTGGCCAGAGTACAGTTTATTAAGCTACAATCAGAAGACTAGTATTGAAGAGGAGGTCAAGGTCAATTCGATCACCATTATCACTATCATCATCATCTAGAAATTTTGCTAAATGCTTTATATGCATTATTGATTTCTAATGGCAACACTGTAAAATAGGTACTATCACTATTTTGCAAATGAGAAAACTAAGCTTTAGCAAGCTTAACAAACCTGCTCAGAATAAGCCGTAAATATAGTTAGCACTCGAGGTCTGACTCCAAAGTCTACACTTTAACCATTAGTATTATGGTACCTCCAAATTCTACACAAAACTTCATGTTTTTACTAATACAGAAAATTCTGCGTCATCTTCTCTGACATTTTTATTTCCTTAGTATTCTAAACTCTACATATTTCTTCATTAAGTTTCCTTCGTGTGTGTCCTCAAATTAACTTCACTGTTCTCACTGCTATTCTCAGTTCCTTCTATTGCTTGCCTTGCTGTCTATGGAGGTTCTCAGGATAAAGGAGAATTCTCAATTGTCATCTATTCCCCAGTTTCCAAACTGAGAAATTATCATTAACAATTATTCTTTAAATTTTTTTTCAAGTTCTAAAACTTTCTCCCTGTCTTTGAGCTACTTCCATCTTTGTGGGCTGTGAATTTTTCTCTCTTATGTATTTGCCACATGTCCACTAGTAGCAATGTTATTTTTGAAAGGATGTTTTTAATTTTTTTTTTTTTTCAATTTGTTAGTCTGTAATCACTTCAGTTAGAAATGATCCGATCTGGACATCTATAGTTCTACTGGTATAACTCCATCATCTGATATGTTTTGATCATGATCAGACATGTGTCTCCATTGTTCAGCAATAACCAACTAAATTCTCTGATCATCGATACAGTAATAACATAGAAAACAAAATGGCCGAAAAAATACATACATATATATATATACAAATTTCTCCTTAGAAATTCTTATTCTGAAGAAATATCTGTAATTAGGTATGACACTACTGAAACTTTTCTATAAAGGGCCTTACCACTAGTCTTTTTCCAGAACCAAGCTTTTGCTGTTCAGTCTCTTGCCTTTTATCTGCATCCGTTGCAAAAGCAAGTACTTGGTATCTGTATGAAAATATGGAAAAATTATAATTGACTTTAAATTTAAAATGTATAAGTTATTTTAAACTTTAAAAGCACATAATCTATAAACCTTCTGAATCACTTCTTGACTCTTAAAAACTGTAAAATTTAATTGCATTCTTACTAAATGATATTGTAACATAAGACTATGTAAAACTGACATGATAAAGAAATTAAAATCATATGTCCCAATTATTCAATATTGAGAAAGTAGTGCTGCACACTATCAAAGCACTCCCAAAAGAATAAACATCAATACTCAATATTCAGGAAAGATCTAGCACCTAAACACCAAAAAAAAAAAAACGGAAAAAAAAAAGTGAACAATGCAAGGCAGCCTAATGTAATAGGAATTAGGGATACATAAGCTTTGGGAACAACAAAACCCGAATTTAATCCCCAGCTAAAACCACCTACTAGCTGGTAAATTTTGGCAAATTAATCACTGTGTCTTACTTTCTTCATCTATAAAATTAGAATAATAATCTCTAACCCAAGTAATGTTAAAATTTTTAAATAATTTATAAAAAGCACCTAGTACAGTAGCTGGTATATATTATATGCTTAGCTACTGGTTAACAGATTGAGAGATAAACAGACAGACAGATACAGATTCATATATAGATACATATTAATCACCTAGTAGTTTAGCTGGCATATGTAATAAACTCTCAGTAATGGACATTATGACTTTCTATAAGTATTTTGCAACTTCTATTTCAATAATAAAATTTAGCTCAAATCATTCTTAAAAACAATTCTAAATATCATTCAATCTAGACATGATTAATTTAGCCTATGAAGTATTCCCATAATTAATGGTATATTAATTAATGATACAGTATTATAACAATAATCTTACTCTAACTTCAGGCTCATAGGTTTCTTTATTTCTTATTGAATCAAAACATCTTGTATTGTTCTGTCATAACTAAGAGAAAAATTAGTAAATAGATATATTCGGGCATCTCATATTGCCTAAGAGAAGAATGTCTGATAGTATAAAAACCAGGAACCTGTATGACTGAAAGCAATGTGGAATATCTAAATAAGCATTGAAATGTGCAGTAATACTGAAATGTCGTATACCAACTCTAAAATCATGCTTTTCCTATCTCAGTCAGCAATAATTTATTTAGTAAAATATCCAATTCAGTTGGACATAGAATGACGAATTAAAACAGACTTTGCAAAGCATTCGTGTAAACAGTCTTATCGTTACTTTGAAAACTTAACGTATCGATTTAATTCATTTATTCAATAAACATCACTGTGGATCTAATACAAGCATTGACAATGGGAAAAAAAGCTACTCCACGGTCTGTGCTCCTCAGGAACTCCCAAACTAGTTATGGAGATTAATTTGCAAACAAAACAATGTAACTCAGAGTGCCCTGTACTAACAGAGGGTATGTACATAGTACCAGAGGGTTCTTGGGTAGCGTAAACTGTTAGCGTGCTTGGCTGCTAACAGAAGTTTGAGTCCACCCAGAGGCACCTCGGAAGAAAGGCTGGCAATCCACTTTCAAAAAATCGCAGTTGAAAACCGTATACAGTGTGGTTCTACTCCGACACACGGGATCACCATGAGTCAAAATTGACTCCACAGCAACTAGTTTGGTTGTTTTTCTTTTGATTTATTTTGTTTGATTTGTTTTTTGGTATCCAGTACCAAGGGAGGAGCCCTGGTGGCATACTGGTTAAGAGATGGGCCTGCTAACCAAAAGGTCAGCATTCGAAATCTACCAGCTGCTCCTTGGGAACCCTATGGGGCAGCTCTACTCTGTCCTATAGGGTCACTCGGAGTCGGAATGGACTGATGGCAATGGGTTTGGTTTTGTTGTTTTTTTGTTTGTTTAGTACCAAGGGAACACAGTGGCAGAAACAAGTAACTGGAGTGGTGAAGATATGCTCTTGGTATGTGTTCAGGAGGAGAAAGCTAGATTTTAAAAAATGAGTGAGAATTCATCATGCTGGTAAAGAGGGAAAAGGCATAACAGCACATGCCAAGCATGAAGCAGTAAAGGAGGCATAAAAGGCCAGGACAGAAGTTTGGGAGAGATGCATGACAGAGGAGGAGGATGAGTCATGGGAAATAAGATGAAAAAGGTAGGAGGGCGAAGATCTCAAACAGCCTTGTAAAATCATGCTAAAAAATTCCACAGGCAGCTGCAGCAAATGTCTCAACACGGAGACGGACCTTCAAAATCTCAACAGTCTCCCCAAGTGCCAAAGAATTAGGCCTCACATTCCAACCTCCAAATAGCATTGTTTTATATTGCCAGTACATAGTAAGAGACAGAGTATGCATGCGTGACAAGAACATCAGCCCAGAGCTGGTCCTGCTGTGGATCTAACCTCAGGCAATTAATGACATAGGTGGTTCATTTCCTGCAGACACCAACCCACGGGGGTATGATATGGTGATTAATGAGATCGTTGCAAAACTCCAAAGCTTACTGAGTTGTTTCAAGCTTCTTATGTAACTACAAAGAATTACTATTTCATCTGAGGAATAAGTGAGCCCCTAAAGTGGCCCCATTAACATCAAAACACCATGGAGAGACAAAACCAAAACTGACTCCTGATTTCCAAATCCAGAGCATTTCTCTTCCTGGAAGACAACTCAGAAGAGTATTTTACTACTTAAACATAAATGACGGTAAATTTAGATGATGAAAAACTTACAATAGCATCTTTTGTATAGTTGTTCCTTAACTCCTCTTAATAGTGACCAGTAATGTACATGAAAACCTATATCCAAAGCCAAACAATCTCAAGCTGACTTGGAAATTCTGAAATAAAGAAAAACACTTGGATTTTTTTTTTAAACCACTTAAGTGTTCAGTGATATAAGCTAAAGAATATAATTCCTTTGTTGAGATTGCTGAAAGAATAATCAGGCTCAATGTAATAAGATTCTATGAAAGAGTGCCATGGGTGTTTCTCAGAACAGAAATGCACTGATCACAAATACAGCAAGTCCGGGTGAAGAGTGGTGCTTTTAGACCCAAGAGCTACAAATGTTTAAAACCACAGGTCCTGTGGAGCACCAATGACAAACTCTACCATATAATTTAATGCTCTTCCATATCACATCGTAAAAATAGCACCAAATGACTAAAATATGGATTGAGGTGCCACAGAGCACAAAAGTAAACCCTCCAACGTCATTTGTTTTCAAATGAAACATAATTATCACCTCAATGCGGTACCAGAAGATTTTGGAATCTTGATATTTAACCTGGAGAACTTTACTAGAAATGGAAGTTCTCGACACAAAGCATTACCACGTTCATTTCAACTATAGCTAAAATATTCTTGATTACGCACAGGAGAGTCATTTTCAGTGAAGGATGCCAGCAACAAACTTTTCACTCCTTCAACAAGTCCTTATTATGGACCTACTCTACAGTGCTAGGTGCTTTTGGGGATACAAAATTACTACCCTCGTGGAGCAATTAGCCTAGTCAAGGAGAAAAGTAAACAAGTAAATATTTAACAACAGTGAAAGTGTGAATAGTGCTAGTGGAAGCACGAAAAACCTTCTCCTGAACTGAAAAATCAAGAAGACATTACTTACAGCTAGATCCGGGAAGAACTGAACGTAAGCAAGGAGGCTTCAGACATAAAGTTCATATGCAGAGAAGGAGGGAATAGCATTTCAGACACAGGGTACAGCATGAGCAAAAGAAGGGAGCGAGAGAAAAGCCCTTAACATATATGGAGAACAACAAATATTTCAATTTGGCTGGAGCATAAGACTTGTGAAGAACACAGTCCCTTTTTCTAAATGTCAATTAAATTCAACAAATACATTTTAAAATACTTATTTAAAGACTATTATTTGCTTAGCAATGTATTAGGAACTACTGCAGGGGTGCAGAGAAGGTGGATAACACAGAGAAGGAGGGAAAATAAAGCTTGTAGCCCATCTACTTCTTCGGGAAGCCTCTAAACTCAAGTCTAATTTAGAGATCTCGCCTCGAGGCCCCCTCAGTATCCCACGTAAAGCTCTGCTGTAGCCTGTATCACAATGGCCTGAGACAACTGTTTGATTTGCTGCCTCCCACACTTGCTTGAAGACTGCTGGAGGACAAAAGACAGGTCTTATTTGACTTTGCATTTTCAGTACTTTGCACAGTGCATGGCACAGAGAAGAAGCCTCTTGAAAAAATGTTTGCTGAATGAATGGCTGAATGGCTAAATAAATTAACTGTTCGGTCAGTGAACAGAGGTTTAAGAGAGAAATTTTGCTCTCAGGAACCTGATAGTACAAGACACACTCTGGAATATTTTGATACAACAGAAGAAGGCAATATATGGTATTGGGCAAAAATCAGTGTTATAAGCAATAACGTATCTCGGTGGTGGTGGTGGTGGAGTCGATTCTGACTCAGGAAGAATATCTAGGAGGTGAAGAAAGGGTGACAGTCGAGCCAGTTAATTTGAAAAGTGCCTTCCAAATATGAAAGTCCATATCATAGAGGTAAAGTGAAACTTGATTATAAAAGGCTCTGAACATCAAAATAAGAAGTTCTCTACTTTTTAATGGACAATAATATTTATTCTGGCTTAAAGAGGTGTTTTAAATGGAGAATATGTGAAGGACTCTTCAATATCTAGATTAGAGGTAAGAAAACCAGAAATCCAAGTGAAAAGATAAAGACCTGAACCAACGGAAAGGGGAAGCAGAGATCGAATAAGAAAATTAAAGGTAGAGGGCAGGATTTACTGACTAAATACCTCTGGCAGGCCAAGGAAAGAAAAAGAGAATAGAAGATGATTCACACTTTGGGCACATACGGCCCAAGAGAGTGGTGGTACCAAAGCCTCCCCCAACAAAAAGAGAAAAACAATTCTCTCCAGTAGCATAGTAAGGAGGTGCAGGCGGTGCAGACCATACTGGATGACACTGTCAGAAGGTATGACACCAAAATGATTGTCTATAAAATTTTTGTGCAGTGTTTCAGCAGAAATTTATTATTTTTTATAAAACTATCCCTGTAGCTAGTTATAACTCAAAAAACATTTTTCATAAGCACAGCTTACATGTATCAATATACCTTTTGGTGTGATTGATCACTTGTGTATGGCCTTTCTAGCCATTTCTTGTAACTCCAACCCAAGTGATTAGGCAGGATTGTGTGATAGGGTAATTGTGGCCCACAAAAGGGATTGTTCAGTTTTGCCATCCCGCTGGGCTTGAAATGAGCAATCCCAGAGGCAGGAAAGAGAGAAGAACCCACCACCACCAAGGAAGAACAGCTAGGAGCCAGCATGGCTGAGAAGCTCCTGGAAGTAGGAGACTGAGAGACAGAGAGAGCTGTAACCCTGAAGATGCTGAGAAGCGGTGGCAGGACAAGACCCAGCAGGAAAGACCAAGCAGCAGAGACCTGGCAGCAGGAGATGACGAGGTGGGCTTCCTGGCCCACAGAAAGAGAAAACTGGGGCCTTTGGGCAGAGGCCTAGGGCCAGGGAGAGATGTGCCTGCGAGCACAGCTCGGCAGAGGCTGTCCTGATGGAAGAACTGTATCCTTGAGTGTTCCTGAACCTAACTGTAACCTGCTACTTCCCTAATAAGCCCTATAATCGTGAGTATTGTCTGTGAGTTCTGTGCGGCCATTGCAATGAATTATCAAACCCAGCAGAGAAGTAGAGAGTGCCGTGGGAGGGACGGTTGGTGTTAGAATTGGTAAAGATGGCAGAGTGAGGAGGCATGTCTGACCTCTGCCTCACAGGAATCAGCCTTGGGTTGTTGATCTTGAGTTTCCCTCCCCCTTGTGAAATCAGAGGAGGTCAGGTGCCGCCCTCACACCGTTTTTACATACCTACAAGGTTAAAGCTCTATGCTAATTTACTTTTTGAACCTTCTAATGCCCTCCAGTCAGAATTGTCATTACTACCCAATTACAATGATGCTTCGAATCATGTGGTTTCATCTGCATGCACTACAATCGTGCTGTTTTGGTTGCTTTTTTATAGTTGCTAAATTTCGTCAAAATTTCTGTTTTAGCTACAATATTGTGGTAATTAGTATTTGTGAACCTATGTCAATACCTTTTTTGAGAATGAAGTAATAATTAAAGGAAAAGAAGGAGTGATATATGGGAATTACAATCTACGAGTAACATTAGCACAAAAAACATTACCAAGTATTTTGTATGGTCTGGTATGGAGGAAGTCCGTGATGGGGGAGGTGACACCATGAGTTACTGCACTGGGTGACACCAACCCTAGTGACACCACTGATTCTCTCACTTCAAAAGAAAAACAACACTCAAAGTTTGGCCCTTAATTAGGATTGCTTGGAGTATGTATTTACAATGACAATTTATGGGTCTTATCCTCAAATCTATTAAATCAAAACCTGCTGGAAATCTGCAAATGAGCATTTTATAACAGGCTGCCCAGGTGATTCTTATGCAAACTAAAGCTTGATATCCACAGCCTTAGCTAGTTTCCCCGTGAGTATAATTGAGCTACTTTTAAAGTAATTAAATATTAATATCCAATTCACTAATTATATTCTACTAACTGATTATAGATAGATTTAACAAAGCCTCAAAAGATCAAAACTACATTTTTTATGCTTTCTCCCATACTAAATTGCACCAGTAATTATCATTTGATTAATCTATTAAACTTGAAGGCATATGTAAATATAACATACTATTTAATGTTATAAACCCTCCTGACTGTGATCATTTCATAATAATCACACATGCCATGCGTTTTTACCATTTTAAAAGATCCACATGATGGATAAAGGGTGCATTTTTCAGTCCTAGATGGAGATGAATTTAATAGATTGGTATGTTGGAGAGTTACTACAGTTAAAACAGTGTGGGCTTCTGTGAGATTAAACTCACACGTTAAGGAAATCTCCACATTGCTTCCTCATCCAATCACTGCTGGAGTTATTACCAAATTAATTCCAATACACATATTTCAAAGAGTAAGTAATGGAGCATTCAGATCTTTGTATGGTGACCCCTCGGGTAGCATTGCCAATATCACTACTTGGCAGAATGAAGGCAAAGAACTGCGTGGAAAGCTGAAAAGCAGATCTCCTCAATATTGCTGAAGTTTTGGCAGGTATGAGTATTTTATACAGATATTTTTCCCAACCTCTCAAAATAAGTATAATATTTTATTTATTACCAGTAGCAATGCCACAACTCATTCATCTTCTTTGGACAACAAGAACCGTAAAGAGTCATAGTATTATGACATGATGATATACCACTGCCATCAGTTAACATCTGCTTAGTCATAAACAGTTGCTTGTTTTCAGAGCTTTGAACCCAAGATGCCTTGACAATAATTCACAAAAGGTGGATTGCCACCTATAAAGGAAAAAACTGAATTAACTGGCTATACATCCAGTAATGAAAACTGAAGCTAAAAATTTACAGCTGTTGCCTGATGAATTTATATTTTCTTCCTGCCTTGGGAAAAATCATGTGGCCAAAAATAATACTGAAAAGCTGTAATGATGTGTTGCTTAAATGTTTAAAGTTTGAAATGTTGCCATCAGTAAGATAACAATAAAGTTACTGAATATACTGAAATCTTCCAAGTCTATTTCTTTTCCCAGCATTGATTTTTTTTTCCCTTTTTTTATTGTGCTTTAGGTGAAAACTCCAGCATTGATTTTTATTTTCTTTTCCCCATCCTCTCTTCCAACAAAAAACACTCCTTTCAAAAACTCCAAACCTTAAATGTATTGAAATTTAGCTGGTGGAGGAGAAAAAGATCTCTCAAATACAATTCACCAAGATCAATAAGAATTTCCAGCAAAAAATAGAAACTGTTTTCAAAGGATCATTTTCATATTTTACCTGTACTATGAATTGTCTTTTTAAAAAATAATTAACATATCATTCTTTTTTTTAAATAATTAACATTCAGACAGAATTAGTGGATATAACCAAAACTGTTGCTGTCGAGTCGATTCCAACTCATAGCGACCCTATAGAACAGAGTAGAACTGCCCCATAGGGTTTCCAAGGAGCGCCTGGTGGATTTGAACTGACGACCTTTTGGTTAGCAGCTGTAGCTCTTAACCACTACACCACCAGGGTTTCCAGTGGATATATTAAGCCTTTATTATAGAGAATTCCATCCTGCAGTTTCACAGACAAAATGCTGAAAACTTTGTACTACCTAATAAAAATGAGTTTGCAATACTTATTAAACTAGTAGGTGAGCTGATTTAACCCACCTGAGAGAATAAGCTACTTAAGGACATTCCCACAATAAATGTACGTAAATATCTATTCATTAGAATAGTCTAGGACAGCTGCCTGAAAACAGCAATTCTGGTTACTGAAGGTACATGAAAAATTGTAATTTTTGAAATGTCTCGTAACTCAAACGTTTCAGTAATTCAGACTGTCCTCTCCCAGGTCCAAGTTAGTACATTTGATTTTACCTTTTGTTTTTTCTACAAATTTGTTAGTTTTTCTCAAAGCGCGGTACACCTACACATATGAATACAGTTTTTTAAGTTGTTTGTGACATCTAAACCAGAGAAATAGTTTAAGTAAGCATTATCTATAAATTATATTCAAAATATTGCTTTGGTTTCCTGTGACTGAAAAGCAATGGAGAAGACTCATTACATTTTAAAAGTATTATTAAACCTATATGACTTCTTTATAAAATTATACATATACTAGGCTTGACATGTAACAATCAATTCCTTCTTGAATTATATATTCGAAAGATCTAAAAGAGACGGAAGCTTTGGGGCAATAAGGGAAGAAAATAAAGCTCCCTTTATGCAAACCTAACCAAAAAAAATAGTAATAATAATTAACATTCATAACAACACTTGTGTTTCTTGTCAATAGTTTCCTATGCCGCATACATTCTTTTTTATCATTCTATATATGCCTCTTTGTACCTGGCTTTCCTCACTCAATCTTGTATTTTATTATTTATGATGTCAGGGAACAGTCACAGTAAATATTGAGCATTGTCTACAGACTAGCAACTTGACATACATTATCTCATTTAATCCGGATTACAGACTTGTCGAAACAGACATTATTATCCTGCTTCAGAGCCAGATGAGTGAGTGCCTGGGTGGTGCAAACAGTTAGCACACAGCTATTATCCAAAAGGTTAGCGGTTCAAATTCATTCAGAGGCACCTTGGAAGAATCGACTCGACGGCAACTGGTTTGTTTTTTTGGTTTTACAGGCTGGATGAGGACACTGACGATTACAAAGCTCTAGTACCAAAAGAAGCATTCAAACCCACATCTGTCTCTCCCCAAAATCCTTCCTCTCTCAAATCGCTACATTACATTGCCTTTCAAATATGTTTTGATACATCAGTGATATTCTCTAAGTCACCACAATTATATTTTCTCAAAGAAACCAGACTCTTTTCATTTGTAATATTCTAGAATGAATGAATGAAAAAGAATGAATCAGCAATACACACACCAAAAATCATAATGATTCCAAAGATTTAACATCCAAACTTACTTGTAACTTTCCACTTGTCGGCAGGAAGAGACAGTAATGAAGGAATCTGTACGAGAACTGTAAGCAAGAGGGCCAGGCAGAAGGGACCCAGGGAGGAATCTCCCAAAAGCATAGCTTTCCTGCTCAAACACCATAAGCATCCCATCCATGGACTGTATACAAATTAAATCTCGACCTAAAGAAAAATTAGAGGAAATTAAAAAATACTGTTTTATAAATATAATAGTTGTAATTTATCAATTCTTACCACAAAAATGGTGGTTTTTTCCCAAAGGGGAAAATGGGTAGTTTAAATTTTAAATTACAAATTCATGAAGCTATCATGTTATTGTAGATCAGTATACACACATCTCCCAATCTTTAGATTACTCAGAAGACGTCTATAATTGTAAGTATACTTATTTTCATTTACTGCATGCTAAAATCTCCTAACTGAAGATAATTCTTGTGAACAAACATAACTCCTTGTAAGATGCCATTTTTTCCAAATATAGAAATATAACAAAATCTGTTCCTCACGGGGCTTATTGTCTTCTTCTTAGTATGTTGGCCTCATACTTTCAAATGTCATCCTCAAAAGTCTAATGACTTAGACATCAGTCAACTTAACAGACCAAACTCATAGGCCTATATTAGGTACCAGTTTCATACAAATGACTGTGCTAAGCACTGTTGGAAGTTTTATACCCCTTGAAAATACTTATCATTGATTGCCCTAAACTATAGATTGATTTTGAGGTATCTTCTACTATCAGTCTATCTGTATTAACTATGATAGGCATCGTTCTTAAAATAAACTGAAATAATAATAACAATGATTTTTATGATACAGCCAGAATGCTCATTAGAAGCAAGGATGGCAAGACTTCATCTCATATACTCTGGACATGTTATCAGCAGGGATCAGTCCCTGGAGAAGGACATCATGTTTGGTAAAGTAGAGGGTCAGAGAAAAAGAGAAAGACCCTCAAAGAGGTAGACTGTTGACACAGTGGCTGCAACAATGGGCTCAAGTATAACAATGATTGTGAGGATGGCACAGGACTGTGCAGTGATTCATTCCATTGTACACTGGGTCACTATGAGTTGGAACCGACTCGATGACACCTAACAACAACAACATAATCTGTTGCCATCGAGCTGATTCCGACTCATAGCAACCCTACAGGACAGAGTAAAACTGCCCCATAGGGTTTCCAAGGAGCAGCTGGTGGATTCAAACTGCCAACCTTTTGGTTAGCAGGTGTGATGGTTAACATTGTATGTCAACTTGGCTGGGCCATGATTCTCAGTGTTTGTACATGATCACTCCTATGACTGAACATGCTGTGAGTAGCCAATCAGATGAAAGGGAGTTTTCTTGGGGGTGTGGCCTGCATCTGAATATAAGCAGATGTTCTGGCTTTTTGCTCGCTCTGGATCCTATGGCTGCCTCCTGTTCGTCTGACCTCCGGTTCTTGGGACTTGAGCTATCAGTTTATCCGCTGAACTTGGGATTCATCACTCTTCACAGCCTATGAGCAGAGCCCTGCTCTCTGACCTGCCGCTCTTGAGTTCGCCAGCCCCTGCAGCTACATGAATCAGGAGAAACCTTGCGGTCTTGCCTGCCGATCTTGGAATTCATCAGCCTTCACAGCCTGTGAGTGGGAGCCCTGCTCTCCGACCTGCCGATCTTGGGCTCGCCAGCTTCTGTGGCTGTGTGAATTGGGAGAGGCCTCTACCCTGTCCACGGACTTGGGATGTTCTAGCCTCTCCAATCGCATGAGCTGTTTCCGTGATATAAATCTCTCTATATATATATTTATATACTTTGCTGGTTTTGCTTCTCTAGAGAACCCAGCCTAAGACAGCAGGCATAACTCTTAACCACTCTACCACCAAGGCGCCTCATAACAACAACACAGTGTCTCTAAATTGAGAAAGACCTAGTGGCTATAATTTTTCATGTTTTGTTGTTGTGATTAACATATCCTATAATGTATCCTATACGAAGCAACTATGTCAGAGAAAAATTAAGCTACTCATTAAGCGAATAAATCAAAGACCAACCCTCTAATCAATTTCACATCTCCAGCCCATACTAACCCATATATACAGTAGGTCCTGAAGTAACTATTTCATATTACCCTGGATATTAGTGCCAATCTTATGTATAGCATACTTAGTTTGAAATTTAAAAAGTTATTTTGCACAAAAAGAAACCAAATTGCATAAAAATGGATGATATTCTTATTTGTGTATCTGAATAAGGACATTCATATGGTTGGGCAATTTTTAAAAAGAAAACATATTGCAATGAGGTTTTTCTAAAAAACAAAACATACTGAGATTACCATTGCAACCTACTCTAGCCCATCTTGACTGATACAATAGGTTTACCAATCTTAAATAGTCTGAGACATGCTGCAGGTTGAATAATACTGTCTCAGCATATGAATGGTCACTAATCATAGACGTGAACCATTCTGGAATCTCTTTAGGAAAGGACTGTTCATATTAATGTTGTTTTAAAAGGTTTTCTCCCATGCTCAGAGTCTTTCATAATGCAAAGTAGGTCTTGCACTCACTGTTTTAAGTTGTTGTTTTTTTTTTTTCCCCCAATCCAACACTTAATCTACTATGCTATTAAAGGAGTCCCTGTGTGGTGCAAATGGCTAATGCACTCAGCTGCTAACCAAAAGATTGGATATTCCACTCCACCCAGAGGTACCTTGGAAGAAATGTCTAGGAATCTGCTCCTAAACATCAGCCATTGAAAACCCTTTGGAGCACAGTTCTACTGTGACACACATGGGATCACCATAAGTCAGAATCAACTCGATGGCAAATGGTTATGCTATTAAAGATTTCAAAAAATTGTGAGCTTCAATGCATGTTGTTATGTGTGTGCATGCTACATGTGTGCATTTAGACATACACTTAGACAAAGAGTACTTCACCTAGCCAGAACTTAGTTATTTGGCAGTTCCACTAGCCTGCATACCAGCAAAGATGAAAAAGTATAAAAATTAGTTAAGAAGTCAAAATGGGTGCCACGAGGTCTTTAGAATGAAGATCATACAAACTTTTTACAGATAAGATTTCCAGGTCTCACTTGGGAAACGTATATTCCTATTTCAGCTATAGTTTTAGCAACTGTAGTTTTCATAAACAAGTTACTGATACTCCTGAAGCTTCATCATCCTCATTTGAAAATGAGTATATTTGTAGGAGTGTTCCAAATTTAGAGATAAGATATAAAAATCCCTAACACTTTGTCATGGATTGACCTGTGTCCCCCAAAAATATGTGTTAACTTGATTAGGCCATGATTCCCAGTATTGTGTGGTTGTCCTGCATTTTGTGACTGTAATTTTATATTAAAGAGGATTAGGGTAGGATTGTAACACCCTTACTAAGGTCACATCCCTGATCCAATGTAAAGGGAGTTTCCCTGGGGTGTGGCCCTCACTACCTTTTATCTCACAAGAGATAAAAGGAAAAGGAAGCGAGCAGAGAAGGGGGGCCCTCACACCACCAAAAAAGAAGTACCGGCAGCAAAGCGCATCCTCTGGACCCAGGGTTCCTGCATGGAGAGGCTCCTAGTCCAGGGGAAGATTGATGACAAGGATCTTTTCCAGAGCCAAGAGAGAAAGCCTTCCCCTGGAGCTGACATGCTTAATTTGGACTTGTAGCCTACTAGACTGTGAAAGAATAAATTTCTCTTTGTCAAAGCCATCCACTTGTGGTATTTCTGTAACAGCAGCACTAGATAACCAAGACACACTATATAACACACATAAATCACATTATAAAAACATTATTATGATGGTAATTGTTACCTGCTTCCCCAGTCCATGGAAAAGAAAGCAGCAAATTAGAAAGGAGGTGGGAGGACACTGACAGCTATGACCAGTGACAGCTACTATCCTAACAAAAGGAGGAAGTCAGAAATCTATAAAATATATATCAAATAATTCAAAAAGGAACAACAGTCTGGGCACAGTGAGTATAAGAACAAATTAGCCCTATTTACCTCAAACAGAGAAATGTCATGTTCTAATATGCTAGTTTAAAAGAAAAAAAACAGCTGGATTTAATACAGTTTGGTATAACTCATTCACTTGCCAAAAAGAATTCATGGCAGACATGCTGATTGCTCCCCAAATGGTCATTCTTTCTTTAGTACCAGAAGCCATGAATTATGGCCATCCAGAATAAAGCTCACATTTCCAGGCCTCTATCACAGATATTTCCTGGGTAGTGCAAACAGTTAATGAGTTTGGCTGCTAACCAAAAGGTTGGAGGTTCAAGTCTACCCAGAAGTGCCTCAGAAGAAAGGCCTGGCAACATACTGCTGAAAAATCAGCCACTGAAAATCCTATGAAGCACAATTCTACTCTGACACACGTAGTGTCATCATGAGTCAGAATCAACTTGACAGCAACTGGTTCTGGGTTTTTTTGTTTTTTTTTTTATCACAAATACATGTTTCTGTTGCCATCAAGTCGATTCCAACTCATAACAACCCTATAGTGACGCTACAGAACAGAGTAGAACTGTTCTATAGGGTTTCCAAGGCTGTAAATTTTTACACAAGCAGACTGCCACATCTTTCTCCTGTGAAGCAGTTCAAACTGCCCATCTCTCAGGTTAGCCGCTGAACGCTTTAACCACTGTGCCAGGTACATGTAACCATGTGATTGTTTTTTCCAATGGGATGGGAGCAGAGGTGATGTGTGTAAGTTCCAGATGTGCCCTTAAAAGGTCCAAGTACGCACTCCCCTGCTACTCTTCCCAGCATAATGGTAGGGATGAAGTAGTGACCTTGTCTTCAGAGATGGAAGCCACATACTGAGGACAACAGAGCCACTCTACCAACCCAGGCTCACCTTACCTCCAGGAGGTTAAATGAGAGATAAATATACATGTTTCTTATTTAAGCCAAATTTAAGTTGGGTCTTTGATAAAGCAATCAAACCTGTTCTTTAAATAACACAGTACTGAGCCAGAAGACCTACCCAGCATTGCTGCCTCTTAAAACTTAGTGTTCTTGATCAGATACTGGTTCCAAAAAACAACCAGCTATAGAAGACATATTAGGACAACTAGAGAAATTTGAATACAATTACATGTTGAATAATACTAAGGAATTACTGTTAAATTTCCTAAGTGTGATCAGAGTATTGTGGTTAT